AGAGAGAGAGAGAGAGAGAGAGAGAGAGAGAGAGAGAGAGAGTGGAAAGATTATTAAGATAAAGATTAAGTTTCCTCTACACCATAACTTGGCCAAGACGTTGTTCGGTGTTCGTTTATATCTTGCTTGTCGTCATTGTGCCATCACGTAGGTATATAGTACAACGATATAGTACAACGCTATAATACACGCGGCTTGCGTGTTTCTCGAGAAGTATATCATGTTAGACTATATAGGACTGTGTTGTATAAGACTGTTATTCAGATTTTATTAATTTATATACTCCGCGTTACGTCTGTGATAATAGAATAATATAATAGAATAGTTCATTCTAAAATATTAAATAATAAATAATATTAATTTTAGACAAAAAATTTTCAATAGAGGCATTCTTATCGCGCACAGAAGAAATGATTTTGCTGAAATATTTAAAAATTTAGTTAGATACACATCTGAAATTAATTTTGTTGAACCTTTAAAATAATTACGTAGAAAACTCAAGCACGATAAGCTGCAAAAAATTGTAACATTCTAATAACCAGCTTGAGCTACATAATTATTTTGATAATTTCATAAAATTATTTTCAGATCCGTATTTAGTTAAATTTTTAGATACTTCAGCAAAATCAGTTCTTTCTGTGCATCAACCGTTAGTCTATTTGACAAAAATGACACACTCCTCCTAGTGAGAAAAAAATGGAAGATGACAAAGGTTAACGTTCCACACAGAAAAAAACACATTTGCGGAGCGAGATTGTTCGCGAATAGATTTGAAGTATAACCCAGATAATTTTCATCGATTTATACACGACTAGCTGTTCAGCAAATTACGAACCATTCGTTTTCAGGGGAGTTGAGAAAAAGCTGGATTTGCCGGCGGGTTCATGTCGGCGCTTCTTTCCTTTTTTCAGAGCGACTCCCAGTAATTGCACCTTCTGTCACTAGCGGCGTCATTTGACATGGGTGGTTACTCTTGTTATTACGTCGCGCCCGAGGTCATAGATTTACGACAGATGCAATAGAATAACTCTCTGCACATCTCGGTCGAAGATATTATAAGAAAGAAAAGAACAGAAAAAAGACACGTTTTTAAAATTATCTTTATATTTATTTTTTCTGGCATTTTTATCTTAATCGTTTAAGCATGTTATGCCTTTTTTATATTAATTTGCGAATGAAAAATGAATCCACGATGATTCATAGATTGAACAGAAAAGAGAAAGTTATTAACTTTATATTCATTAATTTTTTTCCTCAAAGACTGAAATTTTAAAAACAATATGTATTAATTACTTACACATATCGTTTATATAATTTTAAATAAATTTGATATCTTATGAAAAAAATTCTATGATATAAGGATAAATCAATCATGGGGACAGATCAATAATGGAGAAATATCGACCAAAAAAAATAAATACAGATAGATTTCCAGTAAAAATTCTCACTGAGACGATAAGAACATCAATTTCAGTAGGTAGTTTTTCTATGAAACTTGGACTCGCAAAGGACTGACAAATGCGATTATGGTCTCAACGCAAAATTTTTCGTAATTCTTTTAGTAAATGGTATGGCATGTCGTGAAATAAATTTAAAAAAATCCAGGTAATAATTTTCCTTTATGAGCTCTTCAGTTGCTTCAGTGCCAATTTAGGTATCGTGTGTAATTTAGCGTGTTATTGCTACAAGCCCTTC